GGAGATTGCCAAAATTTCGGGTGAACATACGACCACAGTTGGACTTGATTGAACTTTTGAACAACATGGGACTTGTGAATTTAAATTCAAGTTGAATGAATGAACTTAATTAAATAAATAAGGGGCCTAATATGTAGGGGTGTCAATTTTTGACACGACCCGAACCCGACCCGGAAAAATCCAGGTTCGGGTTCATGAAATCAACCCGTTTTAAAAATTGGGTCGGGTTCGGGTTGACCCGCCAACCCGAAATTGACCCGAAAGTGACACGAAAACTCATTTTTGACCCGAAAACTCGAGATTAACCCGTTTTTGACCCGATTTTGACCAGAAAACCCGAGAATGACCCGATTTTTTACCCGAAAATTAGCAATTTTGGGTCAATTCCGGGTCATTCGTGTCGGGTCGGGTTGACCCGGACCCGAATCGGGTCGGGTTCGGGTCCAGAAACCTGACCCGTTTTTAAAAACGGGTCGGGTTCGAGTTGACCCGAACAGTGCCGGGTCAGTTTCGGGTTCGACCCGAACCCGACCCGTTGACCCGAATTGACACCCCTACTAATATGATTGATTTAAAGGAAGACTTAAATTAAACTTGATTATAAAGAGCTTCAACTGAACGAGACTACTTGAATTTGGACTTGAATATGACATGATAAACTATAGTTGGACTTGATTGGAATCAAACATAGTGGACATGAACTTGTCTAGAATGACCAATAGGGAACCTGACTTGAACTTGAACTTGCAATGACCACAGGGGACTTGAGTTTAGGCAGCTGTACAAAGAACTCAAACTTGAAAATGACACAAAGAACTAGCTCAAATGAATAATGCCGAGAGTCAAACTCTAATTCGATGAATGTATGAGCATGTTAAAAATATAAATGTTGATCAATAAATTTGATCATGCAAAGAAAGATCAATAAAGTGACGAAGGACTTATGTTGAAGCCTTAGTAAGCATGATTGTTGTTTTGCCCACAAGCAACATGAATGTGACAAACAAAGGAAAGTTGGAATGTGCAGGTTTTGCAAACATGGGCAGCTGTATTAAACTCCTACGAGAACAACTACAACTCATTCGCAAGCAAATGAAGACTCATTGAGTGAAAATCCTAAGTTGTGATGCAAAGCATTCGAATAAACATCAATCAATAAAGTAGGGGACTTGAACTGAAGTTTTGAATAAACATTCATAAACAAATCAATAATTCGTGAAGAACATAATTCATGTATTTAACCTACAAACAAATGCAAGAAAGATGTGGATAGGACGTCAAGCATACCACTGATATTTTGCTGCTAACACACATGGAAATAAGTATCTAACGAATGTGATTCACGTACAATTATGAATCAAAGAACTTGCAACACGGTGGCCTATTCACAATACAAAGATCCCAAACAATAAGCCATTTTGATCATTTAAATGTACTCAAATCAATATCACACATTCAATCAAGGATTCATGCCAAGATTTCAAATGAACATGATTTGCTCGTGAATAAATGTGATACTTATGAAAAAATCATTCTACATGCTACAAACCATGAAAGGAGATAAGGAACTTGGAATCATTATTTGTCTACAAACAATGTGCAAGGCAATATGAAGAAGGAATTCTTTATGGAAACATTGTCATTCTTATGAATAGAGGTAGAAGATGTGTGACAAATATAATGACATTCCAACCAATGTGTTTGCAATCAAAATATGAAGCTTTTAAATAATGTGGAAGAACTTTCATGCCAATTAGAATGCAAATATCACTAAACAATAATCACCTATAAATGAGGAGTGATTACAAGCAATGTTCGAGGATGAATAAATTCTCTAGTTCTTATCCTTAAGCGTTGACCATGCACGTAAAGATTGAATGGAGAATGCAATGATATGTCTATAATCAACAATAAGGAATCTCATTGAAGTGTCAAGGGATCAACATGTAAATCAACATATAAATATCAATGAAGAAAGTTACCACACAAGATACAAGCTACGTTCAAAGGCAATAAAGGATCCAATGATTCATTAGCCAATACATGTGAAGGGACGCGAAGTCTTTTTGACAATGGGGCAAACCGCATATGGAGGATGATCAGCATGTGATGTTTGTATAATTTATGCAAAACATACAACAATCCTCACAAACAATGTGGTCTTTTGCCAATAGGTTCATTATAATATACGATGAATATTAGGACACCCCAATAATTAATGTCAATCCATTCATGAAGGAGCGCAATAGTTCTCTGGAAATAAAGAAAGTTGACTTGTAGAAGAATACAGAAAATTTGCCTACAGTCGAAATACTAGAACATTCGGGACCGTCTAACCAACACTAGAACATTCACATAGTCCATAACAATACGATGGCAAGCAGATACATTTAAAACCCCATAAACAGAAGTTTTCAATGACACTCTAGGAGACCCGTGCCACATTCAACATGGTTGGTTGCAAAGGATTGACACATCTAGATGTGTTGAAATGAATGTCAACACACACTATATGGTGCCTAACAAAATTAATGATCAATGTTTGGCAAATGTGTTGTTAAAGGTCAATGCAAATCTTGTTAATCTAAACCCACAACTGCAAGTAGAAGTACATACGCTACTCTAACTACGTCAAGAGCTACAACAATCATTTTTGGGATGAACATCTCGACTTCAGCAAGGGCACAATCATCCAGTAAGCCAACAACAGAAAATGATGATTATGACATATCGGGGAGTTACTTGTTGGTTCTCATACGAATTTTGGGAAGAGAATGCCAGATCTAGTCATTATGGAGTGAGTGAATCTCAGTTCAACCAGATCTTTAATGTTGAGTTGGATAAGATTATCGCGGTTTGCAAGTCCCTCGAGAAATAATGGTCGTACATCCAACACACCACCCATAGGCAAATGGTGAAAGGGCTACGACAAGTACAAGTTCCTACGAGCTTTCGTATAAGATTCGTTAAATGTCCAAAAAAAACCCCACACGTGCACCGTAGTTTGTATAAACATAGGTACGCAATGGGGTAAGTACAATTACAAATACCCGCATAGGCCCGACGAGCGTGTTGTAAGAAACACATGTGACGTCTAGGGATGTTGCGCGGATCAATAAATTCAAACCTGATCCTCCTAAGAAGCTAAATAGGAGTCGACAAGGTCATCAAATTATTATAAAATTGCCTCTAATATACCAGCATTGGCCCCGGCGAGTATGTTGTAAGAAACAGATGTGACATCTAGGGATGCTGTGCTGATCAATAAATTCAAACCCGATCCTCCTAAGAAGCTAAATAGGAGTCGACAAGGTTCATAAAATAATTATAAAATGCCTCTAATATACCAGCATGGGACTCGGCAAACGTGTTATGGGTACACAAGTGTTTTATAGGGATATTGCGCGGGTCAATAAATGAATTCAAATTCGAACCTAATCCTTATATACGGATCAATAGGAGTCGATAGGGTTCGAACAATTAAGCAAATATGCGGTTGTGGTGACCGGTATATTTGTTTTAATACATTCATATTAGATTTTTTAAGGCATATAATCAAGAGAATTCACTAACAAATGCTCAAAGCCTATGAAACCCGATCCTTAGTTGACAACTAGACAGAGTCCACAATGTTCAATCCATAAATGCAATGATCCCAAAAACCCCGATGATGGCCGTATTGAATGCTAATCTCAACCGGAGGGGTCCATTCTATATATTTCAAATACCACTCAAACACTCAAAAATCCAAAAATTCTCGAAACCATTCAAAACTCCAAAACTCAAAAATCTCAAAAATTCATATAATTAAAACTAAAATCAATCCATCAGCACTTAAAGCAAAATCCATCCACCCTCCGCAATAGTTTATCGGGGTGGACAAATTTAAAACTACTTCAGCTCACATAGAGGTAATGTCTAGTCGAAAATATCACTAGGATTCTTTCTCAAATAGTCTCATGTCAGTAAGGACGTGGTACTTGTCCTCTAACAGGCAATTTTGTCGTCAAATGGCACCGCAAGATAAATGGTTATGACCCGGGGCCTAAAAAATCGAGTGGTTTTGCCACCAAATGGCACCACGAAATATCAATTATGACCAGAACCAATACATTCCTTAATGGCATCAAATCCTTTATATATAAATTAATAGGATATGATCGATAAGGCACAAAGCCCTATGTTAGCTAAGGTGGATTTAAATTTGTCCACTTAGACAAATATTCACCCCAAGGCTACAAGGTCCCCTTAGACGAAGCAACCCATGGCTGCCGACAAGGACCCTTCTATCAGGTTAGGTCGACTACCTCCTTTGACTAAGTAGACCAGGGACCACGATGACCCGAGACAACGGAACCATGGGATCTAATTAGGCCTATCATCTATTCCCCCACCATCCATTTTAGTGCACAATGATGAAATTTCTAATTTTAAATATTAATCCTTCAAATTTCAACCTATGCTGCTATTATATGCCAGATAACACGTATCTTTATGTATTTGATTGATGACTAGCCTTCATCAAAAGTTTTCTCTTGTTATCAAGAGGGGAAATTAACTATAGGGGCTTGCGCCTATAGGAAACTAGAACTCAGATCATAAAGTCTTCGCAAAATGAGGGCGAAATCTCTATGTAGTGTCTTATCTACAAACCCATCTGTCTTCCCAAAATTTATCATGGAACTTATTTCGTTAAAACTTCCCCCAAAGAGAAAAGCTGGGGCCGAATTTTTGAAACCCACAACTTCATTAGCACAATGCTATAATGATATGGAATATCTAGTTATATTGTGTTGGAATGGTCCAATTCTGTTTAGAATTGGTCTCATAGCGAGCAGAAATGCAAAAAGAGAAAAAAAATGAGCTTATGAAGAATTTCTCCGATACAATCTGAAACTAATTTTGAATAATAGAACAAATCATAAACCCTCTGATGTCATCATACATAATTGACCATTTTATACAATTGCTGCTGAAACACATTAAACAACATTAAGATGTCAAAAGAAAAAAATTAAACTCCCATAAATAGCGGCAAGAATTATACTGTACACTAAATGTTTCCATTAAGAAAACCAAGACACTTGGCTACATCAGTATCATTCTTCTAATGAAAAAGATTAGGTTACACAAACTAAACATAACCAGATCTTAATCTGCACTGTTAACCATACAAAAGCAGAAGAAGACTTCCAGCTAAGATTTTATACTAAAAAAATGATCAGAAGTGAACGCAAAGATGAGAACATGAACTCATCAAACGATATACCTTTTGGACATTTACAAAAGAGGGTAAGTAAAATAAAAATGCTGCGAATTAATGATTTCTTTGAAGGTCTGCTCTCACTACTAAATTATAGCCTTTGCACGCGCAACTGACAGCAACTGGAGGTTGTTGAAGTGAAACTTTGGCTTGCATGATAAAATAGGTTCCTAAGTGAAGTAATCCTGCCGAACTAAGGTGATGAAATCTGCAGCTAGCAAATCATCATTCTTGTGCTTCCCAAACTCGCCATTTCCTTGAACGTGCCAAGATATCTTAGGTGGGAGCGGCATATATAGATCTGCAAATTCTTCAAAACTGTCAAGTACAAGGAACTTACGCAGAAAGACAGCCATAATTTAAGCCATTAAATTTTTCTAAAAGGTCTGAAATGAGAAGAGAACTAAACATTTCAGTGACATCAACTTATATTTAAGTGATGTAGGGAAAGAAATCTTCAGATGTGAATTTTGATTTAGCATGTAAAAACTAATAAACGTTATGTATAGGTTCTTCTGTTTATATAATAAACTATTAAAAAACCAAAAATTTCCTGCTAGGTGAAGTAGGAAGCTCAAGGTACAAAATAATAGTTAACAATTATTGCATCATGGACGCCACGAAATGCATGGCTTGATACTTTAATATTCACAAAAGATCTGTTTGACATCACTTTTGTTTTTTATTTTAATTTTGTTTTTGTTCTAATTTTAAATAAAAATATATTTTTTATTTTATTTACTTTTTTTAAAAAAATTTAATTCTCTCAAACTTTCCATACCAATAATTTGGCTTTTATCTCCTTGTCGACTCCCACTCTTGTGATTTCCCTTTCTTAGGCCCTTCAACTCCTGCTCGAAATCCTTCTCTATAAAACTAACTATCCGCCAACCACCCCTTGTTCAAGGGCTATGATGTTGAAGATGATGTGGAGATCATAACTAATATCCTAATAATTTAGGAGAAAATGATGTCGTAGTCAACAGCTGGCACTAGGAATAAATTGGTTAACAAGTGAAGGATACCTCAGCAAAAGAAGCCATACAATTTCAGCCACTAGTCTCCGACTTTTGCCTAGTGAAGGACAGCTTTCATTGGTGTCATTCTTATTAGGAAGAGCTCTCATCAACATCGTTCGAGAGCGCTCACAAACATGTTTCAAAAGAATGCAAAACGGAGGGAGTAGAGATGTGAGTTTGAAAAAAAAAAAAACTGTTTCAAAAATTCAGAACACATGAAACTTACTTTAAGCATTTAAAAAAAACTTAATTAATTTTTAAAAATAAAATACAAATGCGTACTAAATATTTTTAAATCTATTCTTTTCTTATTTTCTTTAAAAAAAATACTACAAATACATCAAACTTTAGGATATCTCAGTGACAAAAAGGTCCATAAATAATTTATTATCAAAATCATATTTAGATCCTGGATTACAAAATGTTTATCACCCAGTCATACATAAAAAGCAAAATTTAAAGAAACTGCTATTTATGAATTTCTGAATGATATTTATAAGCATCTGTTAGACCGGCCCAGGATGGGCCGGTTGGACCGATCCAACAGAGACCGGTCCACTACTACGCGCGACGGACTGGGCGGAAACGGCAGCAAGAGGCGGAGCTTCCTGTGGACCCCACGTGGGATTAATTTTGATTTGGGAGGGAGAATTTGAATGAGGGGGGCTGTTTTAGGAAATCCATTATTGTCCTTTATGATTATTTTGGTTTAATTAGTAGATTGGGAGGGAAATTGGGATCATCTTGAATTTGAGTTTTCTTTTTGAGATCTAGGTTTTGTTTTGGGCTCTTGGTTTCGCCGGAGACTTTGGAGAGTACGTTCTTCCTCTCGAATCGAAGAACAAATTGTATTTTTGCAATTTTATTCGTCTACTAATAAAATACTAGCCTTTGCTTGCATTGGATCTCAGTTTTCTCGTGTTTCCTCACTGTTTTCCTGTGTAAAACTGCTGTCCACTACTGGAGACAGCAGTTTTTTCCCTGGTTCCACTTCAGTTTTGGCTAGGAATTACTTGATTTCAAGTATTTGTGGTGGACAGGCTCAGCAAGTATGCACACTTCATTCTCTTACGACATCCTTACACGGCGGTGTCGGTGGCTGCGGCATTTATCAGGGAGGTGGTCAGACTGCATGGGGTTCCCGAATCTATTGTGTCTGATCGAGACAAAGTGTTCCTCAGCCAGTTTTGGAGAGAGCTGTTCAGGATGCAAGGCACGATTCTGAAGAGAAGCACCGCCTACCATCCACAAACCGATGGACAAACGGAGGTGGTGAACCGAAGTCTAGAAACTTACTTGAGGTGTTTTGCTTCAGAAACACCGTGGATGTGGGCAAACTGGCTACCTTGGGCTGAATATTGGTACAATACGTCGTACCATTCTGCCTCTCAGATGACCCCATTTAGAGTGCTGTATGGAAGGGATCCCCCACACTTAGTGCACTACAGGAAAGGAAGTACACCGGTCTCGACAGTTGAGCAGTACATGGAGGAAAGGGACAAGGTGCTGGAAGAATTAAAGAAGCATCTGATGAGGGCTCAACAGATCATGAAGAAGCAGGCAGATTCACACAGGAGAGACATGCAGTTTAAAGTGGGAGAGAAGGTATTCCTAAAACTACGACCCTACAGGCAAAGGACAGTCGCGAAAAGAAGGAATGAGAAATTGGCGCCAAGATATTTTGGCCCCTACGAAGTGTTGGACAAGATCGGAGCAGTGGCGTATCGTCTGAAGTTGCCCTCTTATGCTACCATACACCCAGTGTTCCATGTGTCACAGCTGAGGAGAGCACTAGGGGAACAGGTAGCTAGTGTGGAGTTACCAGCATCTTTGACAGAGGAGTTAGAGGTGATCATGGAACCTATGGAGTTGCAAGGAGTGAGGATTGATAAAAAAGGAAACAAGGAGGTGTTGATTAAATGGAAGAATCTTCCTGATTACGAAGCTACTTGGGAGCCTTATGAAATTGTGAAGCAACAATTCCCCAATTTTCACCTTGAGGACAAGGTGAGTTTTTGGGAGGGGAGTAATGTTAGACCGGCCCATGATGGGCCGGTTGGACCGGTCCAACAGAGACCGGTCCACTACTACGCGCGACGGACTGGGCGGAAACGGCAGCAAGAGGCGGAGCTTCCTGTGGACCCCACGTGGGATTAATTTTGATTTGGGAGGGAGAATTTGAATAGGGGGCTGTTTTAGGAAATCCATTATTGTCCTTTATGATTATTTTGGTTTAATTAGGAGATTGGGGGGAAATTGGGATCATCTTGAATTTGAGTTTTCTTTTTGAGATCTAGGTTTTGTTTTGGGCTCTTGGCTTCGCCGGAGACTTTGGAGAGTACGTTCTTCCTCTCGAATCGAAGAAAAAATTGTATCTTTGCAATTTTATTCGTCTACTAATAAAATACTAGCCTTTGCTTGCATTGGATCTCAGTTTTCTCGCATTTCCTCACTATTTTCCTGTGTAAAACTGCTGTCCACTACTGGAGACAACAGTTTTTTCCCTGGTTCCGCTTCAGTTTTGGCTATGAATTACTTGATTTCAAGTATTTCCTATCAGCATCTAGCATAAAAGGTGTTGAATAAAAAAATGTCTGTGAATCACACACAACTATATTGAGAATATTAAGTGAAAAAGGGAATAAAAAAATAGGGAGAGAGAGACGTTTGAGTAACAAGTTCTAAGAGTCCAATAAATTGGGCTAGAATACAAAAAATTACATCTAAAGAGATAAACTGAGCAAGCTAATTCAACTCTTTACCCTCTATATAGATTTACATTGGAGCTTGAGTGTTAAATAATTGACCTCATACACAACTGCACAACAACGTCATCAAGCCTTTATCGCACCATGTGGGGTCGGATCCATAAATCCATAAGAGTCAAATTCTCATTTAAATTTAATAAAAAAAATCATTTCTAATATTTTCTAGCTAAGTCTTTTTTAGGTCAATATCTACCTATCTTATCAGAAGGTCGACCATTTATGTGTCTAAAGCATCTAAAGGCAACACTCTCTAATCTTATTTACCATTGGAGCTACTCCAAGCTTTTCACGTACATAGTGATTTTGCATTTTGTCTCTAACAATGAAGCCAAACATCAACTTGAGCATCCTCATCTTTGCAACACTTAATTTTATGCTTCTCTTTTAAAGGAAAACCTTCTGTATCATAAAACATTATAAGTCTACAAATATCATATAGGATTTTCCCTTAAATTTAAATTATACTTTTCTATCACACTACAAGCTCGATGCATTCCTCCACTTCAACCATCTCCGCATCTATTTCACCATCACTTTGAACTATACCCAATATATCTTAAATATGTACTCTTGCTAATGACTTAATCGCCCAAAGTCACAATCCCCCAACTAAATCTATTACTACTAAAATTACACTCCATGTATTCAATTTTAGATGTACTCAAACAAAAATATTTAGACTCTAAAGTTGACCTTCATAATTCAAATTTTCCTTCAACTCCCGCTCTAGTCTTATAAACAAGAACAATATCATCAGCAAAAAATTATACATCAAAATATATGCTCTTATAAATGTCTAGCACAAACATCCATGACTAAAGCAAAAAAATACGAGCTTAAAGCTAATCCTTGATGTAATACAACTGAAATAGAAAAATATTTGGTCAAACCACGTGTTTGCATACAAGTAACAGCTTTTGCATGCATATCCTTAATGACTTGAATATAAGCATTATTAACTCATTTCTTTTATGGAACTTCCTAAGCACTTCTATTGAACTTTATTATATGCTTTCTCTAAATCAATAAATATAATATTTATGACCTCCTTATTCTCTCTATACTTCTCCATCAAACCTCTCAATATATGTATAGTTTCAACAACATAACTACCCGGCAAGAATCAAAATTGATTTTGAGAAATATTAGTATCATGTCATATCTATGCTCAATAACTCTCTCACATAATTTTAATGTATAACAAATTAACTTAATTTCTCTATAATTCAAACACGCTCTTGTGCATCAGCTTTATTAATAAAAATAGGAATCAACTCGCTCTTTCTCAACTAAATTGCATCTTTTTAATCTTCAAAATAATTTTAAAAAGTTTTGTAAGCTAAAAAATTCTTTCATCTCCAAGCATTTCCACACCTCTATAAGAATATCATTAGGTCCAATAACTTTTCACTACATTTTCTTAAAAGCCTTTCTAACTTCAATTTTACTAATACGATGATAAAAACAAAAAATCTCTATTTTAATTTAATCTACTAAGATTGTTAAAGCTAATC